TCGGACCAGGCCACTCAGCTCAGAACCCCTAGCCTAGTACCCTCCCAGATAATTGACTCCAGGGATTTTTTTTTCCCCTTATAATTTTTTTTTAATAAAGCCATATTTGATTTTAGTTTTTGGGGATTTTGGGGGGGTAATTAGCTTTTTTGTCATTTATTTTTAGAGGAGGTGCTAGGGCTTGAACCCAGGACCTCGTGCATGCCAGTCATGCACTCTACCACTTGAGTTATACCCTCCCCACCATAATTTTGTTCTGATTAAGAAAAATGCACGTGTAAACAATTCAAAACAATACAGAATGGTACAAGGTGGAAGCCAAGATTCCCATATGCCCTCCACCAAGTCTGGATCTTTCTAGTGTATGTTTTACCACAAACCAACTTTTAAAATAATTTTATGGGGCGGAGAGAAGGATAGCTCAGTGGTAGAGCACATGCTTAGCATGCACAAGGTCCTGGGTTCAATCCCCAGTACCTCCACTGAAATAAATACATAAATAAATAAACCTCATAAGCACCCATCACCAAGAAAAAGCTTTAAAATTTTTTTCCGTAATTGTAAAAAAATAATAATAATTTGATGTGCTTTTATTGCTGGTTCTATGGTGGAGGGTCAGTTTGTCTTAACTCTGAATTTTTTCCCCGAATTGCTACTCCTGTTTGATTCCCCCTCCACCCCGACCCCTCCTCCAATCACAGCAGTAAGGTATGTTCCTCTGAAAAAGGTGAACATTACCAATGGATTGTGTTGCTCCCGTTTCAGATTTGATTTTTCTGTTCTCAAGAACCTTGTCCTCCCTGCTGATGTGTTTCTAAATCAAGAAAAATGAAGAGAAGAATACTGTGACATAAGAGACAGCCCCCCCCCGAGGGCTTGGCGGCAAGTCCGGGCCGGCAGAGGCGGGGGGCATTGCTTTGGTTTTTGCACCTGCACTTTGGTGACCCTGTCCTCCTGTGTTCCTGTTATTTATGCTGGTGTCTTCCAGCCTTTCCCCCTCTTAAGTGTGAGTTGAGGAACATGCGGGCTCCCAGCCGTGACCAAAGGGAGCTCCCAGCCCTAGGCAGGTGACTGCTGCTGACTGCCCTCCCTGGGGCCTTGGCTCTGTGCTAAAGTTAGCCCCTGAAGGTAGCAGCGCACTCACCACTATTTACCTTCGCGGACCTAGGAGGAAGCTGTAGGTTAAGGTGCATTTCTAGTAAGTCCTCTCCCTGAGCAGCGGGGCTGGCGGTGGGGGGGGGGGTGCCCTACAGAAGATGGAGAAGATGGTAAATGTCGATGAGCAGAGAGCTCCTTTGCACACACAGTTCTCCTCCAAGGCTTCAGCCGCAAACCCAAACAGCCGCTAAAAAAAGCGCTCTGGCGCCTGTGGATCCAGCCTGTCTTGCAACCTCTCCACGTTCTTCTGGTGTCTTCATGTCACTGAGGACAAAGAGAATCCACCTCCATTCGGTTGTCCTGAGCAGGAAGCTGAACTTGGCGGTTCTGGGAGCAAAGCCGTAGCGCCACTGTCCTATCGCAGGTTTTTTTGAGAGTAACAGTTGCAGCTATTGAAACTCTGTTCATCCCTGCTCCCACCGGTCGTTACAGAAGCTCTGGGAGTACGGTGAACTCGTGCTCCGGGCTGGGGAGCGTGTGGGAGGGCTGGTTTGGGTCTGCGTGTTTTTCCCAAGGGCTTTCGTGAACCAGGTTTCCCACCAACTCTGTTCTGCCTTTGTTGCCTAGAACAGACAAAACTGACTTCTATTTACAAACCGACTATACGCCCTCTTTCACCTAATCTGGTTAATGGTCCTCTTATCTGATACAAAATGCCAAGGGTAACTGAGTAAAAATTCCCCTCCTGTCCCACGTCAGGGGTTATTAAAATGGAAGAAATTTGGAGAGTCCCCCGGGGTGACCGGGGCTAGTGGCTTGGGTCACACTGTGGTTTGAAGTTTGACTTAAATCTGTCCTTGTGGGGCTGCCCGATTGCAGAGAGCCGAGAGAGTCGTTTCTGCAAAGAGAAAACAGAACAGCTGGTGTCAGGGAAACGCAGAGAAGGAGGGAAGTGGGAGGATGGGATGCGTTCTGTGCTGTCGAAGACGTCTGGCCGAAGAAGGGACCAGCCTGTCTGTCACGCTATCTTCTACCTTGCTTAACACAGCCCACGACTTCGAGTTGAGGTTTTCATTCTTTGCAGGTGGCATCTGTGCAAGTAAGAAGGGAACGTCCCTACCTTCCTTCTCGCCTCCTGTTTCTTCTTCTGCCCATCTCCACTAGCCCCTTGCCGTCTGCCTTCGTGCCTGCCCGGATCCCTCTGCTCCCAGCCAGTCTGTTTGTGGTCCTTTCTGCCATTCGCCCTCTCCAGAAAGCGTCGCTTCCATCCCCTTGCCCTGCATCCTCTTCATAACCTTTACAAACTCACTTTGGTCCCCGTCTTTCCACTGATGATGTTTTCCCAGAGGTCAGGTCACCCAGTCCAATGGCTTGTTCTCAGAGCTCTGTCTTGTCCCTGATAGAATTGGACACTATGGACCGTGCAAACTGACCTCCCCTCTTTGGGGCCTGTGTCCTGGCTTCTGAGAACTCCTTTGCCTTATCCTGTGCTGATGGGGGAGAAGGCCCTCGAAGACACGTCCGTCTATTCCCCGCTTGTCGGGTGCCTACCCAGGCCTCTGTGCCACCTTGTTCTTGCTGCGGCCTCTGTTCCCTGGCTCCCTGCAGGGTGCTCCCCCTTCTCTTCTTTCCCCAGACTCCCCCACCTCCACGCTTGGCTCTTTCCATTTTACTCCAGTAGCTCTTAATAATGCCGGTCACAAATGGTGGAACGCCAGCAGAACAGGGCAGTCGGTATCTGACGTCTCTGTCTGATCTCCCCAAGAAAAGTAAGCTCCTTGTGGGACAACCCCCCACCATGGCGCCATCTGTGGATCTGCCTAACACGGGACAGGCGCCGGGGACGTCAGGAGTTGGTGTCTTCTTACAGAGGAGACGTGTTCTTTGTGCAGGACATCTGGATGTGACCTGACTGAGGTCTCACCCAGCTCTTTCTGGCTACTGGTTGCTGTCCCTTACTGATGGATTTTGCAGTAAGGAGGAGAGCAGAGAAAGGTTGCTTCCAGGCACCAGGAGGGTGGGCCCCAAGTGGATGCACAAGTAATGTGGCATCCACATAGCTTTTTGAGCCTCCGAGAAGTACCGATCCTTGTGTGAAAGAGTTATGATAGAACTGAAGTTTCACTCTAGAGATCGCCCTGGGAGAAGTCTCCCACACCACAGGGAAGGTCGTTCTCTGGCTGATTGTCTTTCTGAAAAGAGACTCTTTTGAAGCGTGTTTTCCTGTAGATTGTGTAGATGAAGGTGGGCTGGTGGAGGCATCTGTCCCGCCAGGGAGGGGCAGGGAGCAGGCGTGAGAGGCCCCACATCCCTGTTTTCAGGAGCCACCTTAAGTGGCTTCCTGTGCATCTCCTCTCGCATGTAAAGGGACCAGCGTGATCTTGGGGCAGCGCAGCTCTGTGCTCCCCTTCCCGCCCCCCGCTTTCGCTTGCAGGATGTTTGTTTGGAAGGATCTGTGCTTCAGTCACGGATGCTAACAGAAGAGCTTGCTTCCCTGCTTCAGATCACCGGGCAGAGTTATCTGATGAGTCCCCCTCTGGACTGAGGGAGTAGAAGGCGTCTAACTAGACAGGCTCAGAGAGCTCAGAAAGACCTGACAGCCGGCTATGCGCAGGCTGACATCTCTCTTCCCACGATGACTCTTAACGGAACACTGGGTGATGGGATTCCGAGCCTCTGAAATTCCCCGGATGGGCATTCGCATCTTCTTCTGCCATTTCATGTCATTTGATTCAAAAGCCTGCCCCTTGTTTTCACAGGGCAACCTGATAAGTAATGCTGCATGTGTGATGAAAACTAGTATGCTTTGCCCGCGTTCTGAATCATTTGAACAGCAAGGAGAGCGTGCCATCCACCAGCCCCAGTAGCCCTGCCAGCCATTTCTCTAAAAACTCTCCCTGGAACGGTTGTGTTTGGCTTGGCTTTGCTTAAGACAGAATCCTGGGAAGAGATTTTCAAATTTAATTTACCTGTGCATCCAGAACCAAGACTAACTCAACTCCACTCCCCAAGTCCCAGGTGAATTTCCTAAATATCCCAATTTAGAAACTGCTCGGTAAAGTTATGGGGTCTGAGCTGTATAGTGTTTCAAGCTGCCAGCAAAGCCAGCTTCCTCACACTCTGATGCTCCTTTAATTCAGCAGTCTGACGTGTTAAATAAATGAGTGATTGTTGAAATTTTCCCTTCTTTTTTGTTTACCCAATTAGTAGAACACCACTGTTTTGCAATGTTTTATATTTCCAGCTTGTAACTTAATGATAATTACTTAATTTTATTTCTTTAAAGCTTCTTCTGTCTGATGATAAGTATTTTTCAGTGTATGTTTTACCGAGCTTCTGTGAGGGCCATTGCAATGAAGTTTTGTATCTGCACAGAAACCAAAATAAATTTCAAATATTAAAGCTATCAAACCATTAAATTTATTTTTTTTCCTTTCTTTTAAAAAAGTAGAGTTGATAGGGTTAGTACAATATTGTATTCATTTCAGGTGTAAAACAGTGATTCAACATTTATATACAATACAAGTTAATCACAGTAAGTCAAGTAACCATCTGTCCCCACGCAAAGGTATTACAATATTGCTGATTATCTTCATCCCCCTCTTAATATCAAATTTATTAATATGGCATAAAAATGAACTGAAATAAGGTCTAACACAAGTAAAAGGTCATTTTTTTTAACCTTTGGCCTTCATTCTCCTTCCCACCCGCTCCACACGTAGGTACCAATAAACTGAAATGCCACTCCCAGACTTGGCACACTTTCTATAGCCTTTCGGGTTCTGATCCTGACTGATTTCCAAACCCAGAAACCAGGCAGCCGGTATTCTAGGTCTGGGAGGTAGCTGGGCTGTTTGTCATAATGTGTCTGACTACAAACACCCCTACCTTGCTGTGTATTTTTGGAAGATGAGCTTTAAGGCTCAGGCCCTGAGCTCTGGGAGGGTATCTCGGTGCCGGCACGTGAGACCCTCATGTCACCTGGATCAGAAAGAAGACGAGCCTTGGGCCTGGCTACATACGAACTAGATGTGCCCTCCTACCGCATACCTTGCCTTCTAACGCGTCCTGTCTGACCCCCGGCTCCCACATCCACACGGAGCCTATCACACGGGTTTCCCCACCCTCTGAAAGAGCCACTGGAACCAGAAAAATGGGATCTGGAGCCTCTGACCCTGTGGAACTAAACCACAACCTTGCTCATCAGGCATCCTCTCCTCCACAGTGCAGACCTGCAGCACAGCACAGAGTGAACGGGAGGAGAAGCCTCGGGCCCACAGGACCCACCGGCCCACCAGGCTTCAGCTCACCCACACTCGAAGGTTCTAGCCATGTGGCCAAAAGACACTCCGTCCAAGGGCTCAGAGTCTGGAAGTGTGGGTGTGGAATGCAGACCACTGTCAACGAGCCATTAAAGCTGCCCAAATTAGTAGCCCACACTGGGCCTTTTTCGGGATGGTGTGTTACAAAAGGTGTGGACGAGCACCGCCTGCCCTGGCTGGAAGAAGCTGTATGCTAGCCCTGTGTGTTGGACATCTACTCAAAAAACAGCAACAAATTAGAGTGATTGACGTGATCAAGGAAGTAATGCAGAAAGACTAGGTAAGTCAGGGCGGTGCCACAGCATCAGCCAAATTCCGCTGATTCATCCCCAACTGAACTAATTCTTTTTCTTCTGTGCCTGGATCCTTGAGCCAAGCTTCTGAAGGTCTAAGTACACGTTCCGCTTCAGGATGGCGCTGCTGCAAAGCAGGGCCCCTTGCAGGGCTCCCATCAACCCACAGATGAAGATGTCCTGGCCTGGGAGACGTGAACAGAGGCCTGTGAGCACTGCTGCCCGCCCCCATCACGTCGGGGAGAGGGGAGGACAAGGGAGGACAAAGATTCTTGGTTCATCCCCCTGAGCTGGGGCCACTGAGAGCTGGCTTCAGACCAGGACCAGGGCCCACGGCTGCCGAGGCAGCACAGCCCAGGGTGTGGGTGGCTGCAGGGGACAGACAGCAGGATCTGAGGACAGGGACAGGGGGATGTGGGGTGTCAGGGAGGTCCAGGGTCTCAGGTTTTGGCCAAATGGGGTACCTGTCAGGTAGAGGTTGGGGATGGGGCTCTGGGCCCTCATGGAGGCCATCACATGAGGATGCAGGCGGCTCAGATCATGTTCAGTCCCGTAGCAGGCACCCTGAGGAGTCGCCAGGTAGAACTGAGCCGTCAGCGGGGATCCTCCCGTCACACTGTCCACCTGAGGAGACAGGAGATGGGGAGCGGGACCCTGTGAGATCCTCGCCTCTTCCCTTCCTGCCCTTCCTGGAGCTCAGTCACCCGGCCCTCATTCCCCTGCCCTACCTTGCCCTCCAGCTGTGGGAATAGCTTCAGGGCGACTGACAGACAGGCTTCCACGAAGGAGCTTTTGAGGGCCTCGTAGTCGCTGCTCCGCTTTCCCTGGGGCTCGCCCTGCCACTCCTCGAACCACTTGTAGGAGGTGGGCACCAGCATGACCAGGGTGGACCGGTCTGGGGACGCAGAGCCGGGTCACTACAGCCACCCCTTCCCCAGCCAGCTCCCCTCCCCCTGGGACCTGCAGCCCCACCTGGGTACCGGTCCTCCCAGGTCGGGTCCTTGGCCGAAGGGGAAGCAATGAAGAGGATGGGCATGTGGGCTGCAGCCTCGTCCCTGGGCTTAGAGAGGTAGCGCTCCATCCTGGGGGAGGAGGGGGCTGTTGGTCTCCGGCCTTGGTCCTCCTGGCAGCCACCAGCACCCCCCCAAGGGCAGTTCATCCCCAGGGACCCCTCCAAAGGGATGAAGCTGAGGGGCAGCCTGGGTGGGAGAAAGCCCTATAGGGAGTGGATTCTGCCCACCTCCTCCCATCCCATCGCCTGCTGTCTCTCCCGGGGCTCAGCCTCCCCGACGTGCACACAGACGCCTTACGCCTTGTCCATGTCTGTGTCAAAATAAACGTAGTAGTTGGTGGACTGCAAACCCAGTTCCTTCTTGGTGCCTCGGAGGCAGACGAAGACCAAGAAAACGCTCAAGCCGGGCCGCACCATCCCCAGCTGCCGCTTCACGCCTGCAGAGAGTCCGGAAGGCTGTGTGAGCCGTCGCCACGGATGGCCACTGACGGCCACCAACGGCCACCGCCACCCTGGAGAGGCTTGCAGGCGCCTGCTCCCTTCATCTGCAGCCTCAGCCCTTCGGACAACGCACTGCAACATCGACTGGGCGGGGGCCTGCTCTTCTGTCTCCCGCCTGCGAAGGCCACAGCCCCAGACTTCTGCTCTGCACTCCTTCCGAGGCAGGTGGCACTCAGCCTCCCCGAGCCGGCTCACCGCCCCTGCAGGACCGTCTCAAGCTCACTGCCTCCAATCATCCCTTAATGTCTTTCAGTGATGAGCCATGACTGGGCTCCAAACTGCCACGAACACTGATGTGAACAGTAGTTTGTTACAAGCCTTGGCTTCAGTATTAAGTTTAATACAAGCTTATCTAATGAATAAATGTGCCTAATTCCTACTGTGCTGGACAGTCAGCACAAGGCCTCCAAGCCATGAGCCATGCCGGTGAAGAGACGTGAACAGCATCACAGACACCTGGCACCTGGCATTTCAGGGCTCAGCTGGGGAGGAGGGAGGAACAGCACTGGAGTGGAAGGTGACAGCCATTGGATGTCCCCTGGACGGAAGCTGCTGGGCGGCCCCACCTCTCGGCCGATGATCCCAGACCAGTTTTCTGGAAGTTGCTCCCCCAAACTAGCCCC